AAAAGGGGCCGGGAAAAAATTTGGTTCAATTGTTGAAAAAAAACCCTTTTTTAAAAAGGAAAAAAAGGTTTCCTGCCGGCAGGGGGTCCATTCCTCCCCCCCCCCCATTTCCCCGGGCAAAACCAACCTTTTTTGGGGTAAAACCCCCCAACCCTTTGGGGAAAGGCCCCCCCCCCGGGGGGGAGGGACCCCCAAGGACCAAACCCCCCCCCTTTTAAAACCGGTGGGGGTTGGCATAGCGGGATTCCCCGCAAAAATTTCCCAAAAACATTCCCCGGGGGTTTCCCCCCCCCCCCCCCCCCCCCTGGTGATGTGAGAGCCTGGTCCGGTGAAAGGAGCATTGTTGGTGTCGTTCGCCCCCCTACACCTTTGAGAACGATAGGGGTCGTCCGTTCGTTGTCCAAGAAAAATATATGTTTACGCCCCCCGGGGGGGTGCTCTAAACAAGGGGATTTTGGCGCAAATGCTAACGATTTAGGATATATGGTATGCAATAAAAACAAACTCTTTTTTTTTTTTTGCATTTTTCGTCAATGTTTTTTTCTCTGGTAACACGAAGAGTTGTTCAGCAAAGGGCTATTTTAAAGTAAGCTTGTACTCGATAAGCTTCTGCCTTGTATTGTTGTTATCGATTTAGGTCATCATACCGAAAAAGAGAGTGGAAAAGTTAGTGAACCTAAATCGCAAAACAGGCCTTCGAGTACAAGGGGCCGCCATGTGTTGTGGTACCTGACGCAGGGAGAGGAGGAGGCACTAGCCAGTCCGCCAGGTGGCTCGCGACCGCGTTCGCGGCCGACATGGCGCTGCTCAGCTTCCGTGCGCCCAGCACCGCCGCGCCCCTTCCTCGCACAGCTTCTGCCAGCCCTGCTTATGTTCCGGGAGGAGCCGGGGGCGAGTGGGGGGGGGCATGCGTTACAACCTGGTGAGAGGTCCTCTTTTGTCACCGCATGGTCCGCGGCTCGTAATGTGCGACTGTACTGCAAGGCGTTGCACGTTTCTTGGGTGATTGCATTGTGCAAACACTCATCGATCTACGCGTCTCAACGGCGACATTGCACCGCCGTTCCAATATTTTAGCTCTCATGGCCGTGACAAGCCGCTGTTTTATCTCTAGAAGTACGGGCGTTCTCATGTGTGTTCTCTCGTGAATCGTTTACGTGCGTAAGCCGCTACTTGCTGCCGCACCTCGGAAATCATGCTCCCTGAAACTTCACGGCGGACAAGAGAGTCAAGACACAGCAAGTCATCTTCAAGATGATGACGTCGGCACACGAGCTGACCCGCGACAGACCACCGGACACAGGCTTGCAAAGACAGAACTCCAACGCAAACCTCCAATGTCACGAGGGCAACTTGATGCAAATGTAACGTCGTCCACGATCACCTAGCACGACTCCCCCTTCCGCGTCGAACCGCTCGTGAGAGCTGTTGCTGAGGTTGAGCCAGGAGGCGTCGCGGATGACGGCGGGGGCCGGGGTCCAGCAGCCGTTCACACGGAACTCTACGGCGCTGGCATCCGGCACCTACACCCATGGCAAAGCGAAAGGCAGTGTCGAGGGGGGTTGTACTCATCGCCGTGCATGCCGTAGTGGTTAAACCATTTGACCTCGCATCCCTACAAGCCCGGACGGAAAACGCCGGGTTTTCACCGTACCAGGCGAGCACATCACCAAGCGTACTCATGTTTCGCATGCCTTAGCGGCTAGACCATTGACCCACGCGCCGTCGAGAGGATGGAACATTGGAAGGGGGTACACACACGATGTTGAAATCACGGAATGTTTTTCGTGCCCTAGAATTGGAAGGCGTTCCTTCGCGAGCACGCTCGAGGAGAGGGGAAAGTGGATGGTGTCAGGGTCAGGATTTTCCGCGAAAAGAACGACGATACACACCGCAAGACGGACGGACTCCTGTGAGGCCGCGGAACGGAATTCTTCAGTCGGGCAGGCAAATACCGTTCGATAGGAAAATTCCCAGCGAGGGGCAGGAAGACAAAAAAAAAAAAAGCGAGAGAAACGTGGTGCAAGTTAATGTACCTCGTACTTTTGCAATGGTGCTTCGCTTCCTTTGTTGCGCCATTTGGCGGATAGCAACGAAAACGGTCCACTAAAACCATGCACTTAGATCGCTCCCGCCAGCTCAACAGCAGCCACCTTCGAAGCCAACCCTTTTTTCCGTTTCACCATCTCGTAAAGAACCCGCACCTGAGAGTTGCTGTGGTTTCCCCAGACGCAGATACCCCTAACGTCCGCCGGCCCCAGCCGTTGCCATGAACCCCCTTTGGCGCTGCCGTTGCCGTTAGCGGCGGCGGCGGCGAGGCAGCGGTTGGCCTCGTGAAGAAGCATGCCCGCCATGCGGTCGTGGTCCAGGCGGGACAGGCAGCTAATGTTCTTCCTGCGGTGGCGTCGTAGATCGTGCAAGGTGTTGTTGTCGGCGGGGGGGTACTCATAGTCGTGCATGCCGTGGTCGTTTGACGATTGACCTCGCATCCCTACAAAGCCGGGACGGAGCACGCCGGGTTCTCACCAGACCAGGCTCTCACATCACCAAGCGCGAAGCGCCGTGAGGTACTTGGCGAGTCGCATGAAGGGTGAGCTGCATCCTGCTAAGGGTGTTCGGCATCTTGTGCTTACTTCCTTGCGTACGGATGACAGGTACGTATGACTTAATTTATTTTCTGGTGCTTTCACTTCCAGAGACAGTTGTAAGCACTGTGTAACTGCCTCGAGGAAGCTTGACCATTTTAACACAACGTGGTGCGATCATCCCCCGTTGCGCGGAGAGAGGGTTCTCGACCCCGCACAACATGATCTACTCGACCACCATTATGGTTACCGCCAAAAAAAAAAACCGAGGTCAAAAAAAAAAAAAACGGTAACCTGGTTGCCGAGTTCACGAAGTGAATTGGCTTGTTTTACAACGTCGTTGCCAAGCGACGAAAACCCAATCCCGATGGCAAACACCGAGTGGGGGGCTCGTTTTACAACGTCGTTGCCAAGCGACGAAAACCCAAACCCCGATGGCAAACACCGCGGGGGAGGGGGGGGGGCATTCCGGTTTCGAGTTCTTGGCATGAAACTGAACAGCGCGATTCGGAAAAAGTTGGGTCATGCGGTTAAGGTCTGTGATGTGTAGATGGGGCCGGCAGGGAGCTGGTATTCCTTCGCCGATGTATGGCGGCAAGAACGAGTGGGTAACATACGTTCCGTGGCGCGCGTATTTCTTGTTGTACGGTATTAGTGTCTTTGTTTTGGGGCTGGGTTGTCAGTTCAGAGGCTGGTTTCGCAGGTGATGAGAGCGTTTCAGAGTAGGTTTTCCAGCTGGCACGCTTCCCATTGCCCTTGAGGAAAAACGAACTGAAGCACACTCTCAAAACAGGTTTGGCGTCCACAGGTGCTCCAGGGGGCGAAGGGAGCTGTACTCGAAACCGGAAATACCTTGCTCTTCCATTTTCTTAGTAAAACCAGGCGGACAGTAGTGCGAGGTAGATTTGCGCTCTCTGATTGTAACCACGCGTCATTTCTGAAAAAAAGCGCGAACCCGAGATGGGTTTCAAACCGCAAAAAAAAAAAGAAACACGATAAAAACTTGCTCGAGAAACCAAAGACCAACCAAAAATATCATACCTTGGGATGGATGGAGCGTAAGACGCGAGGACGATGCAGTTGGTCGGCGCGGGGTTGGCCACGACCACCACCTTGCAATTACGGCTGGCGTGCTTCTCCAGGCAACCGCCCATCCGCTGTGTAGTTGGAGAGTGGGTGTTGTTCGCGGGCGAGAGGCGAGAGGAGACGGAGACAACACGTGAAACTACCGAAACATACACGCACAGGTACCGGTCGTTCGCTTCGCGCCGAGCCTGACCCCAGGTTCAGCCTGAATACCACGGTTGCGAGGGACTGGTATGTTGTGCCGGTTCAACTCTAGGATACGGCGCCGGGGGGCGCGCATCGCTGAGGCTGAACATTACCTGTTTTTTGCTGCTACATATTCGGGAAAGAAATTTCGGCACATGAAGACGGTCTTCTGTGAGAGATGAACCTCCCTCCGCCTCGTATACCTAATAGGCGGGAGGAAGCACCCCCCCCCACTCGATTTCACGGGCCTCACCAACAAAGATAGGAGCGAGAACATGCACAATCGAGGGACGCCGGGGTTGGCTGTCCGCGTATGCGGAGGTAGGTGGCGAGACACCTAGAGCTGGGGTTAGGGTTCGTCCAGGCACAGCTGATACTTCGTTAGGCGGCGTACCCGTGCTTGAAGACATGGCTCGGCAGTCCCTACTATATCCGGGGCGAAAAAAGGGAGTGCCACATGCTTTCCCAACACGACAATTCAGGACGGCCACACACGTTCTTCCGGTTCTCGCACAATCCGGTAGCGTTGAGAACATGACACACAAAACACAGAGCAGTGGCCAAAATCGGGTACACCCGGTCCAAACACGGCCACAATCGGGTACCCCTACAAGATGCTGCTGGGAGCGACCGCACACCACCATCTGATTGGCCGACGCCCGCCCCTACCCGACCTTGACCGCCTTTCCACCGGGTGCACCCGATCTTGGCTTCTCACCCCCGGGAGGGGTACCCGGTTTTTCTTTCCCCAACCCGAAAATGGCTGGACTGTTCGACAAAAACCCAAGCACACATCCACGGGTCGGACGCACACCACCGGCCCTCGTTTGTCGCCAATAATGAGAAAGTAGCGGGAGGGAGAGAAATATGTCTATTCTTGAGATGAGTCCCGTGTGTGTCGCATCTCGAGAGTGATGAGGTTTTCATCCAGCTCTTTCTTCTTCTCGATCATTTGAACAGACCGCCAGCCGTTTCCCCCAAGGGAGAATTCCACCGCCGGCGGGGGGTCTGCCTCCGCCCGCCGGGCCGTCAGAAGGTCCGAATTCGAGGGCAGGGCGTTGTTGCTGACGTGTACTTGTGTGCATGGGTTTTGGTCGAACAGCCCAGCCATTTTCGGGTTGGGGAAAGAAAAACCGGGTACTCCTCCCGGGGGTGAGTGGCCAAGATCGGGTGCACCCGGTGGAAAGGCGGTCAAGGTCGGGTAGGGGCGGGCGTCGGCCAATCAGATGGTGGTATGCGGTCGCTCCCAGCAGCATCTTGTAGGGGTACCCGATTGTGGCCGTGTTTGGACCGGGTGTACCCGATTTTCGCTACTGCTCCAACACAAAATCACCCCCAGCAACACAAAAAAAAAACGCATTTTTCTCTCAAATCACCTTCATGATGCCAGCGTTCTTCTCGATGAGGTCTCCCCGCTCCATCCCAGGCCTTCTTGGGAAACCTCCCAGGAGGATGGCCACCTGGACAAACACACACATACGACAGGGGACCGACAAAAGCACCAGCAGATGGCGGGGAAGAGGAAGCAGATGGAACAGCTATGAAGAACGACGGACGGAAAAACGCAGGCATACGTCAGTGCGACACAAAAAAAAAGTGGAAGCGTAGTGTAATCCCGAAGAAAAATCGTCGGTGGCAAACGCGTCAACAACCCCCCACGACAACGCCGACCGTGTCTCTTGTCAGGCGTGGGGTTAAACCGTGCTCCCGTACAAAAGGGGGCGCGCGGTCGGATGCCACGCTCGCTGAGCGTGCAGACAGATATGAGTTGCGCTGCAATGCATTGGGGAACCTCTGCGTTGCGGGACCTATTTCGCGTGAGGGAACCTCCGTTGGCTTGGTAGCAACGGGACCTCTGCCGAAGGAGCACCTTTATCGCATGCACGAGGGGAACCTCTGCATTGGGTAACCTGACCCCCACCGCCCCCTCCACCCCGAAGCACGATATTGTTCGATTGCCACCGCCTGCAGACAAGAACAGCCGGGGTTTCAGCAACGCACCTGCGCCCCGTCGAAGGCCTTAGCCTCGTCGGTGGTGGCGAGAATGCCATCCAAGGCGGTCGAAAACAGGCTGTCCTGCACTTCCATAGCCACTCCTATACAACGCGCGCGGGGCAGGCAGGCAGGAAGCTTAATCTAGGTGCTACAGGTAGACGACACGAAAATGACGTAGACGGGGCGGACAGGCAGCCAGGCAGATTCATCTATTGCGTGCCATAGTGTAGATAAACAAGCAGAAATTTGCACCGCAAAGGAAGTCTTCTGTGTGACCCCGGATCATAGATCCTCTCCTCCGCAGCGAAGGAAACGAGCGTGCGGTGGGCAAGATAGATACCGCCGGTGACGACATGGTGGGAAGAAGGGGGAAAGAATCAAACAAAGAGCCTACACGGAGAGAGAGAGAGAGAGAGAGAGAGAGAGAGAGATGTGATGGATGCGAACCCACGACACACACACAGGAGATCGATCAATGCGTGTCACCGCACCACGGTTGGTAGGGACGAGAACGGGGGGGGGGGGGGGGGTCACCAGTGCCGCGACTATGCGAGACAGCGTACGCGAAGTGGATTGAACCCGACTCAAGTAGTTGGAGGTACCCACGGGGTAATCATTGCCACGTGCTGACAGCACAATGTGCGGCAAGGGCACATGTCGACTCTCAACGGCCTTAGTCGCAAGGGTGGGATGCCCAGCAACCGGGTCGACGCTTTAACTCATCCACACCGAACGATGCGCCCACCAACTGGTTGCACCGTGTGGCCGTTACAGGCTGCAAGTCCGTACCAGCCAGCCAGCAGCAGCAGGCAGGCAGCAGCGGGAAAAGGCAAGTATGTGTGTGTGACTCTGAACTAGCATCGACCGCAGACCAATGAAAAGACGCCAGTCCTACAGCGGAACAAAAAACACGAACACGTTTGTGTGTGCGCGCGTGTGTGTGTTGTTTTCTACATACCTTCGAGGGCCGAGGCTGAAGGGGGGATGTCCAGCAACCGGAGGTTCACCCTCGTCCGCGGACCGAAGACCAGCCCTCTCGCGATCAGCGGGATCAAGGAGTAGGCTATCTGGCCCGCTCCCCCCGTGACCACCACCTGCAAGACTACTGTCGGCGCCGCCATGTCGCTTCTTCTTCTTCTTCTTCTCCTCCTATTCCCTTTTCCTTGATGACGCTTGGTGGGGGTGGCGGTTATTTCCGATCTACTACAGGCTTGGGGCTCGACAAGCCCGTACCACACACGAGCTCGACCCTCTGGCGGCGGGGTTCACTATGTTGTACGAGGCCGATTTTGACCGTTCTGGACGTGGAGAACGTTCAGCGCGGAGTCAGTCAACGAGAGGGAGGGGCCGGAGGATCTGCAGCCGTTAGCAAGCGCATAAGCGCTCGGCCACGAATGACTCGATGGCTACGCGGTCGTTTGCTGAGACGGTAGTCTAGCCTGCTGCCACAGCGCAGGTGCATGCGTGAGCAAACACAACACATATCACCTGACGGACCTTGGTTCTTTGGCGAACCCCTTGGATGGGGGGGGATAGCTACCCATCTGTTGTGGTACATCGTAGGACACGAATGGCGTGATACATACCACCATTGCTGTGTGCCGTGCGGCATAAAAAGTCCCAATACTTCTCAAGATCTGACTAGGAAACACAGCGTAGAGGTGCCGACATCATGTATTGGTAAGATATTCTACCACGTAGCAGGGCGTGGACATGCCTACATAGACATGCTAACGGACAGAACCAGATTATGTACGCACGAGACGGCTCGCTAGCGGCTCAAAATGCGGCAGGCGGCTGCGCTGCTGCTGGCTACGGCTCGGGAAGATTGCAAGCCCAGCACATCCCCTCCGGGCCGAGATCTGACTTGTGAAAAGTGGTCCGTCGACACGCTAGACGTGAACAATCGACAAAGAGCAGACTCGGTCGTGTGCTGTGCCAGGCGTGTAGGGAGCGGCCGACACAATCGATGAGCAAAACAAGCCGAGCGCTTGCAGCGACAAACCTACGCAACGAACACGGGGCCGTGCGGTGTTTGTTTGGTTTCTGCGAGGCTGCTGTTGACGGTGCAGCCGCAACGAAAACGTGCGTGCCCGCAACCAAAAACTCAAACGTGCAAACTGCCTGCATTTCGTTGTGCTTGAAGCTTTGGGGTGCTTACGAGTCCACGTTCAAGACAATAGGCCGAGCCAACGTTGCTTTGTCGGGTTCCACGTGCTCGCCTCAAGGCGACAGCAATGCTGCGGTGTGCGTGTATCAGGGGCACTCCCCCGCGACAACGCGTTTCAACCCGCCCCCTCGAAACGTAGGTGCTGCACAATGGAGCATATATGATGGTACCTCAAGCAGCGTCAGCACCGGTCTGGCTACGGGCATCTCAAGGCATCATTCCAGAGTAGCACCCCTAGTGTTGTTATGTTTTACTTTGCAAGGCCAGGTGTCCACTGACCATGCGTGAAGAAAGGCGGGTGGTGTGGTTTTTGCTTGAGTGCGGCGTTGCGCAGGCCGATGAAATGCATCGACACTCTACAGCCTTTTATAGGGGTGCTACATACTGCCAAATGCACTTCTGCGTTCAAAACGCGTAAGTATACACATCGCGTGTTCGTTTGCCACGGATATTGGGAGTCAAGAATATGAGACAGTGCCGTGCGAAGAACGGACGCAAAGTTAAAGCTACCCTGCTACTAGACAGAGCGCCAAGAATGCAACGGTCGTGTCTGTGCGCGTGTCATGAACAGATTCCAACTGCTGGGTGCATCTGTTCGCCAGCAAATTCGAATGTCTGTCAATGTGAACGGTCGGACTGCTGTGATGGACACACGATTCATAATCATCCGCTCCCACTTTGCTGCAATTCGCGCCCTATCTATCGGAAAACACCCGGTGAGATGAACTAACAGCATCGACAGATTATTTCAAGCAAGAACTTCCCGAGCAGATGTGGAGCGGATTAGATTTTTGGCGGAACCAACTTTGCCGTATACAATACAGGATTGAGGGGGGGGGTGTCTACAACGGAAATGGTTTTTGTGGTTTGTGGCTTCTCACTTCCTTTTCGTGTGTGTTGTAATCAAGTATTTTCCCCCGCTATCACGCTATCCGACTTCCGCGCCACCCACGCCACCCGGCTTCCACGCGTCCAGGCCTTCCACGTCCTTGCTTATACCTTTATACCACGGCTTCCACGCCGCGGGGCTTCCACGCCGCTTCCAGGGATGTAACACATCACACCCTTCGGAGCTATCACGCTCCAGCACAAGCAAGTAGGAACGACGCCTGCGGATATGTTGTTTCTGTATTTCACCGTTCAGCGGCTGCTGGCTCTTTTACTTCCCACATCGGGACCTCGCGCCGAGGCACGAAGCTAAACACACACGCTACATGTTTTGCGGGGATATCACGCCAAGCATGGCGACGTTTGACCAAACATACGACCATTTCAAGGTGGGTAAAACATAACTCCATCACTGATTGAAACATTGCAGGTCGCAGCGGTGAGTGGTACGCTGCGTTCGTTACAGGGGGTTGTTCTTTACCATGTCGACTCGGTAGTCAATTGTTCCAGAAGCAGCGTTCTGCCAGAAAACCTTCCTTCAAGGACGATTTCGTAACCCATGCGGAACAGGAGAAAACCTTGGCTGGACACATGGAAACAACCTTGATCTAGAGGCAAGAAACCACACCGACACAGCAATTGCTAGATGCCGTGACGCGCGTCAGCATGGAGTCTTGTCAACGGCTAGAGATGAGGTTGTTGCGCGTCTGTGCGTACTTGTTCCACAAAAGAGTCTCTGAACACGTGCGGCCCCGAGTACAAAGTAGATCACCTGCCTCCTCTCTTCCTCGCGGTATTCACTCTAGTTGTTCCCAGCTATGGCTTCTCCTGTGGCTGCTCCTTGCTAGCTTTGCTCTGCAACTCGCGTTGCTGCGGTGATGTGTGTGACTGCTGTCTGTGCGATGAAAAAAGTTCTTGCGTCGTTTCGGGGAGGGCGGGGTAATCTTAATTTTGGGACGAAGTGTGACGTCATTGGACACTGGAGATATGGTATCGATGTGCCGATGCAACGTTGTTGTTGCAGTTGCTGCTCTCGTTGCCGCTCCTATATCTGCTCAGTACCTTTTATCATCCACAGTCTACTAGTACTAGTCCGACTTGTGCGGGCGCCTTCCTACTTCGCTCGCATTGTCGAGTGTGCTGCCCATCAGTCTGTCAAATGTCGAGCAATCGCAAGGGTGTCTTGACGTCGCACTGGAAGGGCCACACCAGCCAGGGCCACCAGCATGCATATTTGCGGCAAATAACAGGTCCAGACAGTGTGTGTGCCGTTCCACTTATTCTGGAGGTCGGTCGGTACACCTTTCGGCAATTTTTCAGGACGGTCACATAGGAAAGCGACCACCCAGCTCGTCGTAGGGTTACGTAAATATCTGGCGGAAAATGGAACCGATGAGATTCTCCACACGCATCTATGTACAGTATTATAGCATCCCTGCAAGAGCGTGCACATTCTAGGTGGATACTATTCGGCACTCAACAAGACAAGCAAAAAAAAGCCGCAGCAACACATTGCTCGGCAGCAGTTCGGCGTGATTCTCCCCAAGAGACACGAAACAGGACGTGTCCCCACCACATCAACGCACAAGGACCCCGTCGTCACATGGATCAGGGCTCGTACAACAGTGTGTGTCGCCACCACTGCCACATTAGGAAATCAACGGCAAGCCCCATCACAAGAGACGCGCCCTCGAAAAACGCCACCGCACCCCAACCCCGCCACTCTCTGCCAGCCTTTTTCGTGTTGGAAACCCTCCCGGCACCATCAACACCCCCGCCACCACCAGTGCCGCAACTATCGCTACCATTCTTGGAGGTGATGGCATGCTGCTCTCCCAGATCCCGCGCTTGGTCAACCACAACATATGATTTCTCGGAATGATCTTCCAAGGTTCCGTCTGACGTTTCCACCACTGTAGATCCACAGGAGACGTCCGCCGCAGTGGCCGTTGCGCCCGGCTGCGATCTTGTAGCTGCTGAACTCGACGGCAAAACTGCCTGCTCAGCGGGAGGTCCAGTCCCGTGACGATCGCCACTGTCTTCGCCGGAGGCCCCGGAAACCGCCGCGCTTTCGGAGATGATGCTCCTGACGGGGTACATGGCGTCCCACCCGGAGATGACGAAGATGGAGAGGACGAGGGAGAAGGTGCTCACCGGCCAGCACGTCCGGCGCATCGCGACGAAGGTGACCGCCTCGTGGACAAGGCTCGAGAACAAGAAGGCGGAGGTCAACGCCAGGAGTCTCCGCCATGTCCACCGCCGTTGCGTCTGCTTCTGCTGCTTCTGCTGCTGCTGCTGCTGCTGCTTCTTCTCCTCCGCGTAGCCTCCTTGCTGCTGGTGCTCCTCCGATTTCCTACACAACGTCCCAGCCAGTCCCCGGCGGACCCCCCCACCACTACGCCCCGGTTGGGAGAAAGCAGCGTTCTTGTGGCCAACAACAGGCCTGTAGATGCACGAAGACACCCACCGATGGACGGGTGTGGACCACAGGCGGTACATGGTATCGGGCTCCTCTGCGAGCAGCCACCACGGCCCTGCAGTTGTGGGCGAAAAGGAGATGAGGCGCGGGGGGGGGGGTGGGGGGGGGCGCCGGGGGCTGGGTGGGGCGGTGTGTTGGGAATCGGGGGAGCACCTGGAGGTAGGCGGCTCCGCGGCGGACACG